GCGAGGATTCCTTCAGGACCCAAACGCCGCTTTCCAACCGGAAAAGCTCACCTGGACGCACTTTCTCGTCGAAACAAGATTGCAGCGCCCAGCAAACTGGCGGCCCAGTAGAAAATGATCCATGGACCAGTACCAGTCCAGGGCCCGGTGGTTGGGGACCCCTGCTTTAATGTATCTAGTACAAATATATATATTTGGCCCCGACTTTGCAGATCTTTTATGAAGGCTGATTCTTTCTCCAGGCCTTGGGGCCCAGTTGAATTAAGTCCCAGTTGGTTTAGCTGTAGCATATTTTAGTTGGTAGCCATGTCATTGTTTACTGCTTTAGTTGGCCTTTGATGTATTGTTTTTCTTCAGGTTGTATTCATTGTAATGTTTCTTTCTGTATGCCACACAGAATTACTTTGTTTGAAGTTGGATGGCTATATGGATTAAATGAATGATTGAATGAATGAATGAATGGACTTCCATAATAAGGTATTATAGATCAGTGCTAGCTTTGTCCAGGCTGGTGCCCTTGAAGTATTCGGGATTTTGCAATGAGGACACCAGATTGGAGAAGGCGAATCTGTATAACCCAAATGTCTGCCCAATCACATCCTTGTTCTCATCAAAGAGAGTTAACTGCTTGTTTTGATTCTGAAATTTCAGAAAAGCTCATCATATTCCTCTTTTTCAATCCTTCTAGCCATATATTCTTGCTGAAGAGTTGAACCGAGAACTGCCACCTGAACAAGCTCAGTACTGCATCAAGCGTATGCCAGCGTATAAGGGACCAGGAGCTGTTCCTGGAGCTCTGGACTATACCTCATTTTCATCAGCATTGTATGGGGAAAGTGATCTGTAACTGGGGACTGACTCTGTGGGCAAATGAAATTAGATATATTCCAGTTTGCTCCTTGAGGAAAAAAAATAAGCTGACCTCACTACAATTTCTCAAGTTTAGCAGGAACATTCAGTAAGGAGCAGTGCCCACGTAGTGTGCAGCATGATGAGTTTTTACGTTGTTTATATGTACTTGATTAAGCTTATACGGTGACAGACTGCACTGGCCCCCTGCCTTATCAGTTTGTTGTTATTCTTTTTAAATTAAAAATGGATAATCCCAAAGTGCCAAGTTAGAAAGCCTCAGGAAAAACAAAAGAAAAGAAAACATGCCTTTGAAAAAAACAAATCTAGCATATCTTTTGATTTTCAAAACATGAAATATTTTCAAGAATTCAGAACATTATATGCAGGTCTTCTACAACCTCCCACCATGCACCTCCTTTTTGCTTTCATAGCATGGTAATGCTTTCATCGATCGATACTGGGGTTTAATATGCTTGTGCAAATGGAGCCACATACAAGAGAAAATAAAAACCCAGGTCATACCAAATAATCACATGAGATTGTTTTGTTGTTTCTAATGTGAAACGTGCACAAGAATTTTAGTCTGAGTTTCTAGTGGTATAAAATCATAAATCCTCTGGAGTTTATTCAAAGAGGTTGATGATAAGGGCATCATCTTAATGGTGATAATAGCCTTCACCTTAAAATCAATGCCCAATTTTGAAAGGGCACAGTGTTAGTAGCCTGGGTATTACGAGGGAGTTCCATATTTTAGGATGGTATTAATAGGTTGTGTCTGCTCTCTGCTATATTCATTGTTCTGTTGCAATTGTTCTTGGTTAATGCTAACAATATTGACATTTTATTACAACTAGTCTAAATTACTTTGTGCAGTAACTTCCTGCCAGTTATATTCTTCTCAACAGTTTGTAGAAAAATCTATTTTATCTGAAGCCTAACAATCCCATGAAACAAATGCAAAAAAAGTAAATGTTCATACAAGAAGCAAAGAAAACTGTACCATCTGCTACTATTAAAACGTGCCTTTAAAATAAAGTCTGCTTTTCAAGCCTTAATACCAATTCAGCTTCTGAGATTAAACTGATACACGTTTAAATATTAGGACATGTCTTCTGGACAACAGGGTTCTCACCCAGTGGTGGGATTCAAATAGTGTTGCCACCGGTTCGGTAGACGTGGCTTGGTGGGTGTGCTTTGCGCGCGTGCACACTCTTTGCGTGCACGCGCACACCAAACGTACGCTTTGCGCAGGTGCAGAGGCATTCTAACTTGCCTCCTGTAAGCCTGCACGATCCCGGTCGCTTCCAGCTGCTGCGCAGCACTCTTCTGTGCTGCGCAAAGCAGCTGCACTTCAAATTCAGCAGATAAAAGTGAGTATGGGAGCCCAGGTGGGTGGGTGGGCCCAACAGCAGAGTGGCCGAACCGATTGAATACCACCACCGTTCTCACCTCTTGTTTTTATTTACTAGTGAGGCATCTATCTTTTTTATTTATGTTTTTTTCCCCAATTAGAGTGCAGATGATTCTTTTTGCTGCTACTCTTCTTCCTCTCAAAGACATTGATCCAGCTGATTTGTCAGAAAGTTGGCCCCAGGGGCAATTACTTGAAAGAACAGATTTGTGATAATAAAAAGATAGTATTGGAATATACTGGGTTACAGGTAACAATAGGATTTATAATAAATCACAGAGTTTGCTTCGGAATAAGTAGCACTATGCACTTCAGAAAAAGAAGAGAGGGTGAAAGAAAATAAAGGCAAGGTATAAGAGAAAAGTCTACCCTAGTGTTTATAAATCATCATCAGATGGAACATATTCCACTATTTCATGCAAGTTAGGATATCTAACCTAGAGATTACTTTTAGACAGATGGGCTTAACTTCATACCAATTCAGTCTGTTTTTATTGCAAGGCAGAGGTTCTCTTAAGTTTGCAATATTGCAAACTCCTAAAATGATAAATGAATTTATGTTATTGTCTTCACACAATAAAGTAAAATAATTGAGCACTGGCCAACCTTGCTTTAGACTTTGCAAAAAAATAAATTGCAGCCCCTTTTTACGTTGTTTGGAGCCCCTTGAAGGAGTCATGACTCAAAAACAATATAACAGTTCTACATGAAACACAAAACCCTGTAGTTTAATCCTCTCTTGATAAGAGCTTTAGAATTCGCATGAAAGTTTATGCTGAATTGAATTTACTACCTTAGTGCCTGATAGTATCAACACAGAAGTAGCCTATCATTGCTCCTAAAGATTTTTATTTCCTAGTTCATCTTACTGTTTGGGATAGTTTGGTTCAGCTTACAATTTGGGATAGTCCCATCCATTGACTAACTAGGTTGATGATCCTACTTAGCTTTTTTCAAGATTGGCTACATGCTGCCACCTTCTGTGATGCACAAAGTTTAGGTGTGTCTATTATTCTGCTTAGTACAGTTACAAATATTTCAAGGAACAAATAATGTTATATTTGACCTCCCGGGATAATGAAGTGGCATTTGTGGGAACTGGATCCACAGATACATTCCTATACTCAAACACGCATATGACCAAATAACTGCAAACCAAATTAACCATATTATGTTTCAGTGAAATGTAAATGCAGCAGCAAGTTAATTGAACTGCAGTATAAACACATAACCAAAATGTGCAAGTCTCAAGGATAACACCTTTGGCTATTTATTCTCAATAGCACTGGATGTTTGAGGATGATCTATCAGATATCTTTTTCTGAAATTTCTCTCCGTGCATCATATCAGTGCTTTGCTTATATTGAAGAAGAATGAACTTTCTTAAATAGTCAATGAATAATATAGGTGCTGTGTACATTTTTTTTTGTACCCAGGGTAATGAGAAAAGTCTATAGTGACTGCATTCAGTCATTATACTAATTATTTTTTTGTACTGTGGTGTAATGAAAACTCAGGGAATTATCATGTATTAAACAAAACATGATTAACAAAATCTTGACTTCCTGCACTATGTGATATAGTCCCGTTTTAAAATCAGCATTCACCTAGTTAATTCCTCTTTGTGTAACCTAGGTGATACAACCTACAGTAGTGACACAATGGCTGAGATTCCTCTCTCAATAAGGCATGGTTAGAAGTTACATGAAATTAAAAAAAAAAAAAAACAGCCAAAGTCAGCTTTGGACCCTTTTCTCTAAATCAGCATGTCTCAACTTTGACAACTTTCAGATATTATGTACCTTAAGCTTTCTAAGGTTGAGAAATGCTGCTCCTTACACTCAGTTTTTAATTTAAAAGAAAAGTATATTTAGTTTTTACCGAAGGAGAGGCGTGCTGGAAATGTTGAAATATAATATTTGGGATGACCAAACAGAAGAAGTTCTCCAAAACTGAACTGAATGGGATCGAATTTGGTGTGCAGAGAAAACCTTGCAAAGAAAATGTAGATCTGGCTGCAGAGAAACCATTCCAGGAAGCCTGAAGATCAGGGGTGCTTAATCTTGGAAATTTTGACTTGTGGAATTTGCAGAATTCCTCAGGCAGCCTGTTTGGGGAATGCTGGTAGTTGAAGATCACAAGTTTAAAACCTGCCAAAGTTAGATACCTCTGCTGTGGATTGACCTCCGAAGGTTTCTATTCTTAGGATGGTTGCAAGATTAAGCGATTAACAAGATTAAGCAATTGCAAATAAGCAGCCCTGCCCTCTTTCTATTCAGACTGAGGCAGAAGAATGGATTTAAATTTCCTTCTTTAAAATATTCAAACAAAAAGGAATTTTCCAGAGTCCGAGTTATCTTAATCGTCCTCCCAAATGGGGTTTTTCCTTTGGAAACTCACACAAGTGCCGAGGAGCCCGCGGTGTATATTTCCATCATTGCCATCATCAGTTTGGTTAAATATGTTCACATTATAATCAGCATGAGGTGTGACTTCTGACAATGCAGCGGAAATCTAGAAACAGAAGACGTTTAATAATAAAACGTAGACATAGCCGTTCCAAGGTCCCTTCCAACTCTGATTATCTTTTATCTCTTATCTGTACGCAGTTCCAACACGCCACTTCCACGCCTTACCCGTTGCAACATTCAAATCAATGTCCCTAGTCTACACTGACAGTGGCGTTTACATTAAAGAATAATCGTATGCGTCTGCGCAGCTAGTGACGCGCACGCAGGCGCTTTCCTTGCCGTTGTCTCCGGCCATTCTTCACTCAGGAGCCGAAATTGACTCGTTCAGGTTTGACAAGGCTGTTTCAAAACGATGTCGCCCACACTTTCCGAGTTGGCTGAGCAGCGGGGTAGCCAGGAATCGCACGGTGCGTGTTTCTGGGAGGCGTTTGTGAGCTCCGATGGCTTGGCAGGGTGCAAAGTTTCTTAACTTTTGGTTTATGTTGCTCTGGGAATCGCAGAGTCAGTGGGCTCCGCTATAGTACTCCTAAATGGGCTGTTTAGGTTTCTTCTTCTTTACTTACCGTATTTAGTTACTCTGTCGGCAGCAGATTTACTAAGTGTGCTGTACTCAGAAAGTAGACTCAATTAACTTTAGTCGTTCAGATACAGTGCACTTGACAATTTGGGGGTTTTAGTCCCCCCCCCCCTAAATATCCAAAAGGGAAAGTAGATAAAGTGGGTATCGTTGAACTTGCGAACGTGAGCTAATATCTTTTGAAACCCGGATGAATTAAATTAAGAATCAAAAGTATTGATTAGCTTTTCGAAGCACTTTTGGTTAGCATCTGCATCTTTCTCGCGTTAAGTATCAGCTGAATTGGACCTCAGAAAATGATGCAACGAACCCCGAGTATTAAATCATACACGATTAAGCCGAGCTCGTGTTGACAATCAAAGGAGACCCAGCAAGAATCTAATAGTGAAACACGCGGTGAATCGGCTCCCAGGGTTCCTCTGAACTGTGTTTTGGATAAAGCTCATCCACCACCTTGTTTTGCAAACCACGTGTAATTTTTCTCTATGAACACGTGGTTCGAGCAGATCGATCTTTTGCATACAAGCGGGAGTTTTAGAGCACTTCCTCGGTTATAATTTAAGGCGATTTTCAGGCAGCGGAATGCCATCAGATTAATGATAATAAAGTTATGCTGTTTATCACATAGAAGCAAAAGAGAGGTACACATTTTGGGGTGCACTTTATGTTTTCCACTAAACTTTTGCTTATATGAAATCAAAAGTCTCACTTAAGCCAGTGCTATGTGGAATCACGTGCCTGCAGCCCAGAGTGATGCTTGCAGTACAGTTACAAAGTTCTACCACTGAATGTGTGATTTCTCCCTCTGAACTCAAATATATCATAAAGAGAAAAATCCACCCTAATTGTAGTTGTGTTGTCCACTCCATTCTTAGTTTCATACACTGATTGAACAACAGGAGTAAGACATCTTTCCCTTAAATACAGTACATCTTTCTGACTGCAGCAAGTGTTATCTGTTGGCAGCTGTGACTGCAATCCTGGGTGTACCCATGATGTCTGCACCTCTCAGGAGCTTTATGCATCTATTCTGCAAAAATCCCCAACCATGTATACTTCACCCCATCAAGTAAGGGCAGTATATTTGGTTTGTCCTTCCCAGTGACGGTACTCCTTCACCATCACACCACTGATGATTTTTGTAGGCCAGTTTTTAAAAGTAGATACTGTTGCATTCATGGTTGTTCTTTGTCAAATATCCTGGCCAAAGTGGTGCTCCAATTCTGACAAGTAATGGGGCAGAGCATATCCTCCTTGTCTTGCTTTCATTCCTACTTAAAAAAAATTTTTTTAACTAAAGCTATGGTAAATCTAGAGCAGGGGTCGCCAACCTTTTGGACCTCGGACCACCAAACTCATAATTTTAGTTCCCAGGGACCACTAACTGGTTCTGTGGGTATGGCCTAATTTGTGGGTGTGGCTTGGTAGTCATGTGACTGGCTGGACATGGTTTGTGTGTAAATATAAATATTTATATAAATATTGAATTTTTTTTATTAAAAAAGAGCAACTTTTACCCAAAATCAGGCAAAGCAGGCAGGCAGATTGAGTTGCTCACAGAATCACAGATTCATTCAGAGATCTATCTATCTGCCATCGGCTAGCTCAGTCTGTCACATAAAATTTGCTCGCAAGCAAACTCATAAAATTTGCTAGCAAGCAAACTCACAAAATTAACTCACAACACACCATGCAGGTAAATATTGAATTTTTTTATTTAAAAAAAGAGCAACTTTTACCCAAAATCAGGCAAAGCAGGCAGATTGAGCTGCTCACAGAATCATTCAATTATCTATATCTATCTATCTATCTATCTATCTATCTATCTATCTATCTATCTAT